TTAGGTTAGGATAGGGTGATAGTAGTAGGGTTAGGTTAGGGGAGGGTGACATTAGTAGGGTTAGGTTAGGATAGGGTGATAGTAGGAGGGTTAGGGTGGGAAGGTACGTCAAGGTGATAGAAGTATGTGCCCAGGACTTACACAGGTGATGTGGTCTCTGGCAGGACATTGGTCTACGTCAGCAGGGTCCTTCTTCAAGAACCTGTTAGCAGGAGGGTGGTGGAGCGGGGCACGAGTCTCCCAGGGCAGTTTGGGGTGCAGGAGGAGGAGGAAGAAAGGAACACGATAAAGGAGAGAGCATAAGAGCGGTGGAGAGGAGACAAATCTAACTTTACCTGAAGATAGTCACCCGAAGAGAACAGGTGCAGGTAGTCTCCAGCATGATGAAGTCAGGTCGGGTATGTGAGCGGGCAGCGCGGGACCTGGACCAGCCTCGCTCCCTCCTGTACGGTCCAGTACACTCATAATGGTGGTATAAAATAGCCATTAAAGAGTGGAGGTGTGCAAGTGGTGGTGCGTGGTGATGGAGGCAGTGTGGAGGTGTGTGGTGATGGAGGCAGTGTGGAGGTGTGTGGTGATGGAGGCAGTGTGGAGGTGTGTGGTGATGGAGGCAGTGTGGAGGTGTGTGGTGATGGAGGCAGTGTGGAGGTGTGTGGTGATGGAGGCAGTGTGGAGGTGTGTGGTGATGGAGGGAGTATGGAGGTGTGTGGTGATGGAGGCAGTGTGGAGGTGTGTGGTGATGGAGGCGGTGTGGAGGTGTGTGGTGGTGGAGGCGGTGTGGAGGTGTGTGGTGATGGAGGGAGTATGGAGGTGTGTGTGGTGATGGAGGGAGTGTGGAGGTGTGTGTGGTGATGGAGGGAGTGTAGAGGTGTGTGATGATGGAGGGAGTGTGGAGGTGTGTGGTGATGGAGGCAGTATGGAGGTGTGTGGTGATGGAGGCAGTATGGAGGTGTGTGGTGATGGAGGCAGTGTGGAGGTGTGTGGTGATGGAGGGAGTATGGAGGTGTGTGGTGATGGAGGGAGTGTGGAGGTGAGGAGACGGGGAGGTGGAGAGACTTAAATATGTAATAAATACTCACGAGCTGTTTTACCTCCAGATAACACTAATGACAGGTTCCTCCTCTATCACCTCCCGGCCTATTGTTTGTGGTAGAGGCAGCAGTGTGGTAATGGTGGGAGAGGCAGCAGTGTGGAAACGGTGGTAGAGGCAGCAGTGTGGTAATGGTGGCAGAGGCATTTGGAATGTCTCACCTCAGGTTGACAGGTAAAGAGGATTCCTGCATGAGATTCTTCCCTCCCTCTCAACCCCCCCCCAGACGATAAATCAACTCACAAGCAGATACAAGTGCAGCAGGAAGCACCAGCAGGCAAGCAACGCGGCTCTTCTGCTTCATCCTTTGTTCCTCCGTTGACCTTGTCTGCCCCAAGATGACCTCAAGGGCTCTCTCGTGCTGGGGTCATGAGGGCAGGTGCAGCGCCCCCCTCCACACACACACACACACACACACCAATAATGGACTGGGTATCTAAATGAACAAACATTCCATGACCGCCTGCTTTGAGCCAATAACTTCTGCAACATCTTCCGCTTATTGTTTCATCTTTGTGTACGGTATAATCATCATTAATCCTCTACTAAAAGTTATTGTATCATTGATATTCTGAATGATCCAATAAAAGAAGGTTATTCTCTCTTATGTGTCTCGTGACCTGTTTAGCGAGGTAGAACAATGAGCGTGTGCGTGGTGCTAATACAAGCCGTGTAGCGACGGGGGGAACCTGTTAACGTGAGGCAGTAACATATATTTCTCAAGTTCAGATGTTGTTGTTGTTTCCCTTCGTCATCTTCGCCACTCGCAAGATAACCACAACACTCACCACTCAAGATCACCACAGCGATCACCACAGAAGCAGCCATACGTTTCATCACCATCACCATCATCCTGTTATCGGCATACTCATCACAAATACCAGTACAATCACTAGCATAGAATCACCATCAAGTATTCAGCATGATATTGTTGACGTGGTATTATTTACCTCCCTCCTTCCCTCCCTCTCTCCTTCCTTCCTTCCCTCCCTCCCTCTCATCTTCGTCGTGTCATTTGTTGCAATTACTTGTGTCCTTCATCACCTCCTTCCTCTCCCTCCTCTTTTTCCCTCCTCCTCTCCTTCCATCTTCCTCCGTTCTTCCCTTCCCTTCCCTCTGCCTCTTCTTATTCCTTACCCTTCCTCCTCTTCCTTCCTCCTCTCTCACTCCCCTTCTCCTCCCACATTTTACCACTTCCTTCCCTCCCTCTTGTTACTCTAGTACTTCCAATATTGCCAATCACTTCCCCCTCCCCTCCTCCCTCCCCCCTCTCTTCCCCCTCCCCTCCTCCACCTCATCCCCATCTCCCGACCAGAAGGTAAAATCTACATAATATTGAAATAGAATGTAAATTGACGTCCCCAGGCCCAGGATCTCCCCCCTCCCCTCTCCTCCTCCTCCTCTTCCTCTTCCCATCTTCTCCCTTACTTCTCCATCATTTCCCTTCCTCCTCCTCTTTCTCTTCATCCACCATCTTCTCTTCTGTCCATCATCCTCTCCCATTCCTCCACCACCTGTCCCACAGTCTCCCTCCCCTCTTACCACTCTTCCCCCTCCCTACTCCTCCCCACCTCCCCGCCTCCTCCACCTCACTAGCCAGTCATCCAGACCATCGCCTCGAGCTCTGTGTAATTGAGATACATTAAAGCGAATCAAAATACATATTAGGCATCGTTTGAGAGACGTATATGCAAATGAGCGTCGCATTGAGATTCGGTCTGTGTGTCGGAGCGTCTGAAGGCCGGTTATTGCAGGTCACAGGCGGGAAGAAGAATGTCCGTAATAAAGTATTTGCCTAAACTTATGTTGGTTGTGTTCAGTGGCGGGTCTCCAGTTCCACAAGGTTTAGCGCTGGTGGCGAGGCTTTTCGTCACCTCGCCACTGAACGATCCCATCTGGTGATCTCCTTGGCGATCTAATGGCGTTTGGTGTGATCTAGATGTCTCGCCAGGGTGATGGTTGGAGGTTAAAATGTTTGTGTCTTCCGTGTTGTGTAGTGTGAGATGATGGTTGTGACTGGTTGGTTGTGGTGGTGTTGGATGATTGTGGTTAGTGGTGGTGGTGGGGATGGATTTGGTTGTAGGTGGTGGTAGTGGGGGATGGTTGTGGGGTGGTGGTGGTGGTGGTGTTGTGGTGGTTATGGGTCGTGGTGGTTGTGGGTGGTGGTGGTGGTTGTAGATTGTTGTGGTGCTTGTGGTAGTGGATGAAGGTGGTGGTTGTGGGTAGTGGTTGAGTACTGACAGGTGGTGGTGTATGATTGTGAGATAATTGTGGGGTTGATATCCGTTGTTAGTGGTGGTAGTGGTTGTTAGTGGTAGTTGTGGTCGTTAGTGGTAGTTATGGTCGTTAGTGGTAGGTGTGGTTGTTAGTGGTAGTTGTGGTTGTTAGTGGTAGTTGTGGTTGTTAGTGGTAGTTGTGGTTGTTAGTGGTAGTTGTGGATGTTAGTGGTAGTTGTGGTTGTTAGTGGTGGTAGTGGTAGTTGTTAGTTGTAGTTGTGGTTGTTAGTTATTGTTGTGATTATCTCCGGGGCTCCCACACTGACTGATCAGTTGTGAATCACCGTCCTTCTCTCCCTCATACCTCCACTCCCTCACTCCATTACAACTCCACACTGCTACACACACTCACTCCAACACACCCCACACCCTCCCACACCCCACACCCACCTCCCCCACTGTAGCTAATATATAAAACATTATGGTCCACTTGACAGACATCCAGCAGCTGAGGCATAAATTAGTCGATATACAAACAATGTGAGTGGCGGACAGGTGAGGGTGGAAGTGTGAGTGGTGGGTGTGGGGTGGTTGTGGGGTGGTGGGGTGTGGGGTGGTGGGTGTGGGGTGGGTGTGGGGTGGTGGGTGTGGGGTGATGGGTGTGGTGGTGGGTGTGGGGTGGTGGGTGTGGGGTGGTGGGGCAGGGTGTGGTGTGGGGTGGTGGGGTGTGGGGTGGTGGGTGTGGTGGTGGGTGGAGGTGTGGAGTGTGAGGTGGTGGAGTGTGAGGTGGTGGAGTGTGAGGTGGTGGAGTGTGAGGTGGTGGAGTGTGAGGTGGTGGAGTGTGAGGTGGTGGAGTGTGAGGTGTTGGAGTGTGAGGTGGTGGAGTGTGAGGTGGTGTATGTTTAAAGAGATCACCTGAAGATTGGCCCCTCCTCAGTTTATTTCACCTTAAGATTAACTACCATGATGTTAACCTAACCTAACTTAACTTACACTAATCTAACTCAATCTAATCTATGTTATCGTTATAGTTGTCATTATTGTTGCTGTTGCTTTTGTTGTTGTTATTGTTGTTATTTTTATTCAATTGATTTTTAGCTCAGCCACATTGTAGTGTTAGGTGGTGGTGCTGCTGCTGCGAGATGCTTAGATGAGTAAAAAAAACACGTGACCTTGGTGAGTTAAGTCGTGTGTGTGTGTGTGTGTGTGTGTGTGTGTGTGTGTGTGTGTGTGTGTGTGTGTGTGTGTGTGTGTGTGTGTGTGTGTGTGTGTGTGTGTGTGTGTGTGTGTGTGTGTGTGTGTGTGTGTGTGTGATAGTTACCCATGATAATATTACTTGTTTGTTTTTAGTGTTTTAAAGTTAAATTATATATTGTGTTAAATTAGGTTCATTTTGACACTTTGTTCGGGTTTATGTTGTGTCCGGTTTTTGGTATTTTGTTTTTCAATTTTTACCTTTTTATTTTATGTATCGTGGTAATTGTACAGGTGACTCAGGTATCTTCTCTCCCCCCCCCCTCCATACAGGTACATTAAAGTTTTTATTGCTATTTTTTTTTATCTCCGAGTATAAGATTTTTCAGTCATTTTTTTTCATATTTTTGTCTCCGATTTTGGTATTTTCAATTAGATCTCTCTTTATGTATCACGGTAAATGTACAGGTGACTCAAGGTATTATCTCCCCCTCCCACAGGTACATGAAATACCTGTACCCTATAGAGTGCGAGAAGATGAAACTGTCCAACCCTGCGGAGCTTCAGAGTGCCATTGACGGTAACCGGAGGGAAGGGCGCCGCTCCTCCTATGGCACTTATGGCGACGCCGTCCAGCCGCCCCTCCTACCCCTCCAGAACCTACAGTCTCTCCAGAACCTACAGAACCTCCAGAACCCTCTCAGTTTAGTACCTCGGTCGCAGCTCAACGGCAATGGCAACACACATCCTTTGGCGCCTCAAGATTACCTCCTGGGTGAGTGTTGTTGTCTTTGTGTCAGGGTGTGTTGGGGGTGTGCAGGTGAGCCATGTTCAAGTAATGTGTACTAGGTGAGACAGTGTTCACTTAGTGTAGGGTATAACATTCCCTACACATAATGCTGTAGTGTAGTGTAGGAAGTATGAGGTACACAGGAAGTATGAGGTACACAGGATATGTGAGGTGTAGGACGTGTGTAGTGTGGGATACACAGGATACTTGAAGCGGTGTCATACAGAAGGTGGTGTAAGGCGAGTGTTGTTGGACCAAACGGCTCTACGGTAAGGGAGACGAGATGACTTTTAAGACAGTTGTATGTTTAGTAACGTGTAAGGTCACGTGAAACATGAAGGAATATTTTAAGAGATATTTTTTTAATTTTAGTATACTCAAGTCAGTAAAGGTGATGCTTGTTTGAAAGGTTATAATTAGGACATGTGTTGAGGTGGTTCATGTTTACTTTCTCCGAGACAGGTAAGAAAATCCGTGTTTATGTTGCCATTTGATGGTAAGGGAGAGGTTGTTATCTCCCTTCACTGATATTGTCAAAAGGTCGCTCCTCCATCTTACTCTACAAGACGTTGCCACCTCGTCCACCTCTCAGAGACCCTCACGTGAGAACTGCTGGCCGCGACGGGGAGGTGCCGAGAGTAGTAGTAGAGGCAGTGAGAGTGAGAAAGGACTCATTTATCAGGTGAAAAGTGAGAGTTAAGAAGGAAATTAAAAGATGGAAGTGAGAGAGGAGGGAGGGAGGGAGGTAGTGCCGGGGTCTGAAGCCTGCTGGGACGTGAGGGGCGGGCCGGTGAGGACGCAGAGGGAGGGAAGTCGTTTGTCATTATTACTGACTGGGGTGTCTGTCTCCCTTGACATATCCACATCACGACAAATTGCCGACGGTGGCACCTCATCTGGGAAGCTCCGGAGACCTGGCCTCTGAAAACTTCGCTGGTACGGTATACCTGAGCACCTCCTACCTCCGTCAGATACTAGTTTACCCTGATCGCTGGCACCTTATCCCCCACCACACACACACACACACACACACACACACACACACACATTTCGGATCGTTGCATCAGCAGTGGGTTACGGTAGACAGACATCAGCAGCTGATATCCTGTGAATGTCAGCCTAAATGTACACCTCGGAGAGTAGCGACCACAAGACATTAACTCCTCCTTATGACTCCAAAAGACTCCCTCGCCTGCAGGTCCCGCACACAGGTACTTGATGACCGACTCTGGCTACTAACAAGGAATTTAAGCTTTAGCTGGCGGGGGTGTGATGCTGTTGCTAGACACGAGTGTTGGATGACTTCCTTAATCTGTTGACACGGGACTCCCTCGTCAGCCTCCAGTACGGGACAACTTACACGGGTTCTGACGCCGGATTTTATTTTGGTCAGCGGAAGTCAGCACAGTCGTCAGCCGCTGCTACGTGTTTACCAGGTAGTTTTTTCGGTACTAGGAGGGGCTTTAATCAGTGACGTCTACCACCTTCACCTGTGACCATCATCCACCTTCACCTGTGACACCATCCACCACCACCACCTTCACCTGTGACCACCATCCACCACCACCTTCACCTGTGACCACCATCCACCACCACCTTCACCTGTGACACCATCCACCACCACCTTCACCTGTGACCACCATCCACCACCACCTTCACCTGTGACACCATACACCTTCACCTGTGACCACCATCCACCACCACCTTCACCTGGCAGTACAGAGCCGCTACGTTTACCCAGCTAGACCACTCACTCGCCGCCTCCTGCACCTCCAGATACCAGCGCTGTTTATCAAGCTTTACAGTGACACATCCTCCTTACCTCCCTGCATTAGTCTCTCCTTCTCACTTGCCGGTTCCGATATTACCGGTTGTTAGTGACATCGGTAGTGATTTTTAGCGTCGGACACCGATATTAAGGCGTCACCTACCAGTACTGGGCGACGTCTCTAGCCGCGACATCGAGGTGGTACTACTACACACGAACGCCATTATCAGTTACCTGCAGCGGACACCAACATTCACTTACCATCAGTGTTGACTTGAACTCGCCGGCTGTTTGTAGTCTCCTGGAAAACGTGATCATTCTCAACATTTGCATTTGCACGGCCACGCTCAGCAATATCGCAATTATCCGTTGCTCCGTGATTACGTATGTAAATGATGAACCGACAGTGGTAGTGATGGCGGAGCAGTGGGGAGGTACACGCCAGCTGCCACGATGATCGACATTCCTTAACCGCCGCATAGGAGTAAAAGCCGTACTTGAGAGATGGTATTGCACGGTGTTGCCCCCGAGGCCTGGCGCAGGTCCTCGCGGGCCAGTTGTCAGAGCCACCCACGTTTTCTATATCAGTGTGAACGGTGGACTTTGTTGCTGTCAGTTGTGAACCGCGGTCGCCTTCTGCTGCCCCCACCGGTCCATGAATGTTCCTGTGGGCCACATAAAGAGTCCTCTGCTGCCCTATTGTGGCTCAGGACATTCTCTGTGGCCCTTGATGGTCCACATGATACATCAAGTGGTCCACACCCCGGGGCTACAGTAGTCATCATAGCCGCCCATCCCCCGGAATGCTTTCCTGCCATAACACAAGCGTTCATTATTTTATTGTTTATGCTGGTTCCTGGAACATGACAACACTTAACAGCGTGAGTTATGATTCATGTACTGTACTGCCGCTTCTGTATTGACCGGAATTCCTTTTTGATGTGCAGTTGACTTGTGGGAGAGTGTGTCTGTGAGAGGTTTTTGATTGGTTGACACTACAGCCTTGTCTTATGACCTGATTTTTGATTGGTTGACACTACAGCCTTGTCTTATGACCTGATTTTTGATTGGTTGACACTACAGCCTTGTCTTATGACCTAATTTTTGATTGGTTGACACTACAGCCTTGTCTTATGACCTGAATTTTGATTGGTTGACACTACAGCCTTGTCTTATGACCTGATTTTTGATTGGTTGACACTACAGCCTTGTCTTATGACCTGATTTTTGATTGGTTGACACTACAGCCTTGTCTTATGACCTGATTTTTGATTGGTTGACACTACAGCCTTGTCTTATGACCTGAATTTTTGATTGGTTGACACTACAGCCTTGTCTTATGACCTGATTTTTGATTGGTTGACACTACAGCCTTGTCTTATGACCTGATTTTTGATTGGTTGACACTACAGCCTTGTCTTATGACCTGATTTTTGATTGGTTGACACTACAGCCTTGTCTTATGACCTGAATTTTGATTGGTTGACACTACAGCCTTGTCTTATGACCTGATTTTTGATTGGTTGACACTACAACCTTGTCTTATGACCTGATTTTTGATTCGTTACGTCTTGACTCAAACAGTAGTAGTTAGTAGTGAGGTTCTAACAGGGCAAAGACTGGTGTAGGGAGTAAGTTTATATACCAGTGTTGTGTTGTGAGGTTGTAATGGCGTTGTGATGATGTTGTGTTGTGAGGTTGTAATGGCGTTGTGATGATGTTGTGTTGAGAGGTTATAATGGTGTTGCGATATTGTGTTGTGGGTTATGGTGACGTTGTAATGATGTTGCGATAATGTTGTATTGTGGGTTATGGTGATGTTGTAATTGTGAAGATGTAATGGTATTGTGGTGTGGATTTGTTGTGAGTTATGGTGACGATATGGTGAGGTTATATTGTGAAGTTGTAATGGCGTTGTGGTGCAAGACGGGTGATTCTTTACTAACTTATAATGGCACGAAGGTTGATGACACCAGTAACGACGCATTAGGGACCTCAAGTGGCGGTGCTGTGGCGTAAAATGTGTTTTAACTTAAACTTGAAATAGCATAAGTTAATATACCTTAACCTAAGTCAGTTGAATCCAGCGTCCCTAACCTAACCTAAACGAACCTAACCTAACCTAACCAAACCAAACCAAACCTAACCTACCAAACGTGACTTAATCTTACGTAATCTTCCAAACCTTAAGTAAATCTGTTATTTTGGCGGCTGATGGTGGCTTGTGGGTGGCTGGCGGCTGATGGTGGCATGTGGCTGGCTGGCGGCTGCCTGGGTGGCTGGCAGGCGGCTGATGGTGGCTTGTGGGTGGCTGGCGGCTGGTGGTGGCTGGCGCTGATGGTGGCATGTGGCTGGCTGGCGGCTGCCTGGATGGCTGGCAGGCGGCTGATGGCTGGTTGGCAGCTGATGGTGGCTTGTGGCTGGCTGGCTGGCTGGAGGCTGGTGGGAGGCTGCCGTGATCGTCAGCAACATTGCATGATGAATCGTAACCACAATGTGCAAATGAAGTTTTTACTAAATGACATCAACCTTGTAATGAGTCCCGGCCAGTCCCTTGCCCTCACCCGGCTTGTGAGTGGTGAGGAGGAGAGCGTGGTGAGGGAGCGAGTGGTGAGTTGTGATGAGAGTGTGGTGAGGGGTGAGTGGTGATGGAATGAGTGGTGCGGGAGTGAATGGTAAGGGAGTGAGTGGTAAGGGAGAGAGTGGTGAGAGAGTGAGTGGTGAGGGAGTGAGTGGCGAAAGAGTGAATGATAAGGGAGTGAGTGGTGAGGGAGTGAGTAATGAGTGAGCGGTAAAGGAGTGAGTGGTGAGGAGTGATGACTGTTGACCCAATTACGAGTATTAAGGTAATTATAGGTAATTATAGTAGTGAGGTATTAATGAACATGCTTTACCAGGTTATACAAGCCTTCATCATACGACTTATTGATGTGTGTGTGTGTGTGTGTGTGTGTGTGTGTGTGTCTTAGGGATGAGGAAAAGAGAAGGGGCGTGCTTACCCATAAGAGAAGAGTGATCACATGAATAATGATGGATGACGCAGCTCAGATGATTGTAGTCTCGGCACTCCTTAAATGAGCTTTCATTTTCTTGATAGATGACGACACAGCAGCTCTCTCTCTCTCTCTCTCTCTCTCTCTCTCTCTCTCCTCTCTCTCCTCTTTCTCTCTCTCTCTCTCTCTCTCTCTCTCTCCTCTCTCTCTCTCTCTCTCAACCC